CGAGGATTGTGCTACATTTGCTTTCTTCCCTTTGTGTGTTTTTTTTGGGGGGGGGGGGTTTTTGTCCTTCATTGTGGCTTCCAGGCGTAAGTCAGACTCTTCTGGTGTTTTTATGTCCTGGAGTATGATGGTTACCTGGGTGCTTATGTACAGTATGTGAGTTCCGACTTACGGAAATCGAGTTACGTCAAACTATAGGAATGGAACTCCGATGTAAATCTAGGACCTCATAATTGTCATGATTATTCTGTAAGAATATTCAAACAATAAATAGTGATTTTTTAAACAAAGATTAAAAACTTAAGAATATTCAAACAATAAATAGTGATATTGTTATTTTTTTTAACAACGATTAAAAACCGTATCTTTACAATACAATCTATCTCTCAGACTGTAGTACTGTAGATAAGTTACATAAATAAAGCGGGGGACGTGTCCACAGACATTCCTTCACTCCCTCCATTTCCCCTTTTTCTAGATTTCCATAGTTCATCACTCCTTTTTTCACATCGACTTGTCTGTACCTCCTCATCATCTCGTCTCCTGCGCATTACTCTTACCTCCCCCCACCTCCGTCTCCATCTCCTCTCCGAGGCAGATAATGAGGTCTGTTGAGCAGCGTTCGGTTTCCATGGCACCTCCAGACGGTTTGCAACTCTTTCACTCATGAATTCAACCCCTGGATGTGTTTCCCTCAGGTCTCATCGACCGGCAGAGTAATTCCTGCCTTGTCAATCAGGACTCTCACACTTTAACAGCAGCATTTAGTGACTCAGAGACTTTTTCATACATTATTCAAATGATTAACTTTGGTGACTTTCAGATTCAGGTGCTGGAGCTCTGTGAGAGTAAATCATGAAAAAAAGAACAATGCAGCCCACTTTCTTACGCCTACTTTAAGGTTGACTGAAGTTTTGCCTGGAACTCTCCTTGAACTGTTTCAGGAGAGACGTTGACGAAGCCACAACAGAAGGAGTGCTGCGTTCACTGTGCAGACACGGATGGGTCGTAAACAACAGCTCTGACATCCATCTGTCAGCACAAAATAACTGTGAGCCACTGGTTGTCCTGACTGTAAGGGTCATCAAAGTAAATGTCTTGGCCCAGATGACTCTGTGAATCCTGGCAACTCCTCCATTTAAATATTTTCCTTAAACGGAAAAATACAAAAGCCAGTTTTTTGCCTTGTTTTTTTCCCTCTGATTTTGCAGTTTTGAAGCCAAGGCTGTGACTGTGTTATAGTGGGGGAGTAGACAATAGTCTTTTAATTTTTTTATTATTATTATTTAGGTTCTCCAAATGAACTTATTGCAGCAAAAATTGAATTTACAATTTTGGATTGACAGTAAAATATGACTGATGGTTCTGTAGGAGGGTTCTGGACCTTTGTCTTTTGTGCCTTTCCCTCATTCTCCAACACACTGGTTGATACCTGTTACACTTATCCGTCACCATGGAAACACCATCTGTTTAAGAGTCAAACAGTGTAAGGAAGGGAATGACAGCGAGACACAGACTGAGCCGACGATGTGTTTGGTCCATATCACAGTGATATGGACCAAACACACGGTGATTAGACTGTTGAAGTGGGTCAGGAGTCATCAGTCAGATACACAGTGTCTCAGTACGTTATTATATAAAAGGTTTTCGTCACCGTGTTACAGTCCTCTCATAGTTCATGTTCTGCAAGTAGTTTTTCAAATCCTGCTTCTCACGCCCACCTCATCAGCTCTGTTTATTCTCTAATGACTGTTTGAAGGGAATATAAAGAAAGAATTCTGATTGGCCAGTTATTAAAATCACAGGATGAACTCACCTTCATCAGACTTCATCAGTCATACAACAGTCTGGAGGCGGTCCGGTTAGTTGTGTGGGATTATTCTGACATTTGTTGTTTTTTCCTCTGCAGCCGGTTTATGCAGCGGTGACCTTTGACCTTAGTTCTGTTTGGATCCAGCTGTGAATTTTTTGTTAAGCCAAGACACGAGGGCTTCTGTTTGTTCAAAGTGTTCAAACTCATCTTGAAGATGATGTCAAATATTGTTGGATTATTTGCGCAGGGAACACGGAGAACACACACACACACACTGAAGATGATGTCAAATATTGTTGGATTATTTGAGCAGGGAACACGTGTGTGTTCTCCGTGTTCTCCTGCTCTCTGTTCCTGCCTGGCCTGTGGTCTCTGTGTGGGTCCTAACCTTCATCTTGTACATAACAGCAAGAGCATTAACCCCTGCTGCTCCACTGTGATTTTTTTTTAAGGGAATTACTCAGGGTTCACCCCTGCGGGTGCATGAGCTGCCACTAGGGGGTGCGCTAAATAATAATAGAAAATGACTGCAGTTTGAAGCGTTATCTGTCCTGTTTGCCTCGGTCTTTGTTCCTAATTATTTCAGAATCCCTGGCGACTCCTGGCGTCTGAGCTGCATATTAAAGTTCCCTTTTTTTCTTGTCGTCACGTGGACTGAAATGTGTTGTCTGTCATCTGTTGAGCCCCCCTCCTCCCACCCTCAGCCCCTGCCCCCTCCAGTGTATGAGCACACTGCGTGTTTGTCAGGATGGATGTGTTTTCCAACAGGGTTTTCTCTGGCGGCGGTAATTGCTCTCATCTCAGTCATTTTATTTGCATCACATTGATCCACGTCGACATGTGCGCGTGTTTCTGTGTTACTGGAACCAAAACAGGTTGTTTTGATGGTGGTCTCTGTGGAGACGTGTGAATCTGAGCCACCGTTTATGATCAATATTTGTCTGTCTGCTTGTTTCTCCTCTGTGGTGTTATACATGAAAATAAATAAACAAACAGGGGGAAATTATTATTTGAAATAAAGATGTATTTAGATTTTTTTTTTACTGCTATATCTGAATATTTAAAAGAGTCTTTAATCATCATAAAACAGTAGGAATAGTGTAGAAATTTAATAATTTTCAACAGTATTAATTATATTTTAATAATAATAATAATAATATTTTTTCAGGATTTTTACTGATTAAACCATCTTAAATGCAGTATATGCATATATGTGTATTTATGTATATATGTATATATGTAAATATAAGTGTATATATGTATATATGTGTGTATATATATATATATATA